TGGCCTAACAGTTGTGACCACTGCATGGTCCTCCAAAGCCATCGGCACTTGCGTGTCCCTGTGTGGCTGCTTGGGTGGGTGCAGAACAGGGGACAGCCTTATGCGGTGGCACTACAAGCCCTGCAAGATGACTTGTGGTAGATGAGGTTCAAGATGTCCTACTCACCCTGTGCTGAGTGCCCTTAGAGGTCTCACTCCTCTCCAAAGATGTTCCCAATAAACCCTAGAGAGCAAAACCATAAGCATCACTTTAGATTTTAAATACCATCATTGGTTTAACAAAAAAAAAAAAAAAGAGAGAAAGGAAGGTAATTTTATCACTGTTATGGTATGTTTTCCATTATTTGCATAATTGGTTAATACTAATAAGACAATTAGCAATTCTTACAGCTTAATAATTACCCAGCAATGACTAGCCCATTGTAGCTTAATGAATTTTTTAATTGTTGCTGGGGGTCTTGACGTTCTTTTGACCAATATCTTCTTGTGTTAGAGATGCTGTTCATGCAAACAGGGTAATGCCAAAGGCAAGACACCACCAGCTACAGAGGACAGGCAGATATATTATTATAAAAGGTCTTTTGAATTTAAAAGGAGGAGAAAGTGCCAGCTCTATTCTGCTTCTCTAGGGCCAAACTGCAGAGATTTAAAAATCAGTCCATCATGCAAATGCTACCCCTATAGAAGGCTACTCTGCTGGTGTGGGGCTGGCTTTAACACATCCAAAGCTAAAACAAGTCTTACCATTTTTAGCTTTTAGCGAACAACTCCTTGAGTAAAGCGTAAATCATACAGTCCTGCACTGTGGTACGGCCAGAAGGAAGTTAATTGAGGGCAGGCAGGGCCAGGATTGTGTTGTCACTGACCGAGGTCACCGATGAGGTTGGCTGGAGGAAGAGGATGGCAGGGCCCTGGGGAGCAGTCCCGGCAATAGACTCCACGGCCCACATTTACACACAGATAATAAATAATGGAGGTGGAACTTTCCTTTCCCTTTTTTTCCCCACGAGAATTCTTGATGCTGTTCCTTGCAAAGGGAGGCTTCTCTTTCTCTACCCTTCCTCTTTTCTAATGGCTGCCAAAACATCGGTGCCTTCTACCACAAAATCCCATTTGTTAGCAGTCACCCCTATACCTTTCTCTGCGTTTCCACTGTTGACGTAGCAGGTCAGGCAGATTTGCTTTTGAGCTCAGTACTCGGACTCTTCCAGTTCCCCCATGACAAGCAAGCTCCAGAAGCAGCTGCCACTGCAGGCGGGCACTTCCCTGGTTAGTCACACCCCACTCATAGCCAAACTCACGTGGTGCTCCAGCACACTCCTCATGGTTCCTGGGATGCACAACCCTGCCCGGAGCTGGGTCAAACAGCCACACTCCTGCTCCAGGGCATCAGCACATGCGAGGGGCCACGCTCCCAGCACCGTGGGCCGGGCAGGAAGGAGGTATGGTCAGTTATAGAGATGGCACTTGTGCCCAGCCAAGGCAGTGAAGGTCCACCATGTGCATGCTGGACAAGTGTCTGTCTCCCTCCCAAGGCTGCAACATCTGGGTGATAAAAACATGATGTAGAGATTTTGGAGAGGGTCCAGAGGAGGGCCACGAAGACGATCAGGGGGCTGGAGCACCTCCCCTATGAGGACAGGCTGAGGGAGTTAGGCTTGTTCAGCCTGGGGAAGAGAAGGCTGCGGGGTGACCTCATTGCAGCCTTTCAATACCTGAAGGGAATCTACACCCAGGAGGGGAGTAAACTCTTTGAAAGGGCCGACAATAGCAGGACTAGGGGAAATGGATACAAGTTGAAGGAGGGAAAATTTAGGTTGGATGTTAGGGGGAAGTTCTTTACTAGGAGAGTGGTTAGGCCCTGGAACAGGCTGCCCAGGGAGGTTGTGGATGCCCCGTCCTTGGAGGTGTTCAAGGCCAGGTTGGACGGGGCCCTGGGCAACCTGATCTAGTAAATGTGTATGTTTGGTGGCCCTGCCAGGCAGGGGGGTTGGAACTACATGATCCTTGAGGTCCCTTCCAACCCGGGTCATTCTATGATTCTATGATCACAGGTCATAAAAACATTAGATCTTTACAGCAGAGAGAAATATTTGCAGTAGGAAACTGCCACAAGAAGTGCCTAGTGTTTGCAGGGGATTTGTGATCCCTGATGCTTGCAGGGTGCAGAGGTGGGACCTGGTCACCTCTGTGGGGAAACAGCTGGGCTTTGAGAGGACCAGATGTGAATGCCATCGCAATGTGAGTGAGGGGGTGTCACATCCCCCTCCTCCCCAACCTTTGACTCCCACTGTAGCCTGCCTGCACCATGCCACCACCTCCACCCCAGCACGCTGGGGCCTGTTCCCAGCCTGGATCCAGCTATTCCTACGTTCCTGCCCCATTCTTGCCTGCTGGTGCTTAGTGGAGGGGCCCCTCAGCTGCTCCAAGATTGCCCAGCTCCTCCTGGGTTCCCTTCACTCCCCAGCCTCTGCCCAGGCTCCAAAGCAGGACCAGCTGATGCACAGGGGCTGTGCCAGCCCTGCCTGGAGCTGGGTACACCCACAGGATGCCAAAAAAGCCTGCAGACAGTTTTCCCTTCTGCATCGTGCCTCCCCTAGAGCTGGGTTGGGATTCCCAGTGTTTCAGAGGAGGCCAAAAGCCTCCCCATGAGCCACCGTTGAATGTGTTCCCCAGCCTCACGTGACCTTCCGCAGACACCAGCCCTGGCAGCCCAAGGCTCTCCTAGGAAGCTCTCAACTACAGCAGATGATAGTAGAGAAGCATCTAAGCAGTGATTTTTATACTACTTTGGGAGGTGTCGTCTGTGATTTCCACTGGGTGAGTCATGGGGGCTCCACCGGCTTGTCCAGGAACAACCCTGCAAACCTCCTCACCACGCCTCTTTTAAGCAAGGCTCCAGCTCTTCTTGAAAACTGAGGAGATGGCCCCAGACTCCATGAGGAGCCCGGCAGACCTGTGAGGGATAATACCGTCAGCTCAGCAGGGATGAGAGGAGAGAAGGTGCTCAGCCAGGCGGAGATGAAAGTTACAGAGCGCCGATTAAAAGGCAGGCGAGTGTCAGGGCATCAGTAACGCCATTGCTAACCGTTTTAGAGCTGTCAGGCTCCTGCCCTGAGCTGTCTCTGCACAGCCAGGCATCCCTTGACAGCCCTGTTCTCAGCCCTGATCTGCTCCCAGCCACGGGAACCTACTCAGCTCCGCTGGCTCCAAGCAGAGGATGCTAGCAGAACAAATGCGTATTGGGAACCTTCAACACAGCAGAAAGCAGAGAGATCAACAAATCATAGATGATGGTTCTTGTATTGGGAGATCTAGGGGAAGGCCCAGCTCTGCAGAGTAACTTCCACCCACTCTCCCTCCCTTTGAATTTGTTTCTTGATCTCCCAAAAGATGATTTCTGCTGCTGCTGATCAAGAGATGCTCCTTCCACCTCCTCAAACACATCCCTTTTCCCCCTGCTCTGCAAAGTGTGGCTGCCCAGGTGTGAAGTGATTAAAAAGTTCTGCCAACATCTAAACATCCCCAGCTCCTCCAAACTGGGTCCCCTGGAGCTGGTCTGCTCAGAGCAGGTATCTCCAGACAGCAGAATTTGAGGCAAACTGTGCAATTTGTTTTTGCTGATAAATGTTTCTAGTTACAGCCCTGGACTGGGGTTTTTGGAAAGCCCCATCTGCAGGAATGATCTTTACCAAAGCACCACTACTTTGTTTTACTCACCATCTTTGCTGTGGTAACAGTCCTATGTCATTTTCCTTGATCCTTGAGTCGAAGTCCTGTGAAAAGTGATTTCCCAGGCAGGCCCACAAGTTCCCAGTTGCTGCAGGCCCCCAGCAGCACCAGAACTACTGCCCTGCTCTGACAAACTGAGCAGTGCCTTAATGATGTCTGATAAGGGACTAACATAAGAGGAGCCAGTCATCTCACTGGGAACCCTTTAGACAGGCATTAATCCTGCTGTCACTGAGCCCCTCAGGAAAACCATTTCAGTGACTTGATCTTCTTCAGCTGTTCCTCCACATAATTTATATGTGGCTAATTGCCACAGTAGTGGCTCCGGATGCAAAGCAGATGCTGCTGAGGAAAAGCGCATGTTGCATCTTTAAGCAATGGCTCTAATCTCTTTATTTAAAGGCAAGGCTAGTTAGAGTTGATGGGAGGTTCAGAGCTTTCCCTTTTCTCCTCCCTCTCTCTGCAAAGCCAGCCGGACATTCATTCATATTTTGACACAATAGCAAAGTGCTCAGCTGTGGCACTCCTCATTTGCAAGAATGGGCAATATTTATCCACCCGGTCACCCATGAAGTCACAACTGTCCCTGCCACCATCAAGGAGATACAAACTTATTTACAGCTATCTATAAAATCCCTCCAGGATCTTTGTCTTTAGAATACTACAAAGACTCTCTACTAACAAGTGGAGTGCCAGAGGAAGAAAGTGAACTGGGGACTAGAATTAAGTGAGACTGGAGAATGAATATATGCAGCGGTTATTTCTTGGGAGCAGAGGGAAGGAAGACGCCTCCTCTTCTGTCCTCAAATGATGTCTGGCAAAGAAGCCATCACCCTTAGCAGCAGACAAGGACCAGAGAGCAGTGGTCAGAAGAGTTAGAGGGAGGAACTGGCGGATCCCAAAGAGGAAACACAGCTGCTTGTTTGAAGACTCCGCTGTGACAGTGGCCAGCTGCTGGCATGTTTGCAGATGTACTAAGAAGTTTGCTTTAATTGTTTTAAAATAAAAGTTTTCTAAGGAACCTCTTAAAAGTTGTCCTGCCAGCAGTTGCTGTTGACCAAACTCATATGTTTTATCCCATTGACCCTTCTAGACCTCCTTCATTTCCTACATATACTGTAAAAGGCCAAGATAACTCTGTGAGCATTTGGCCACGGAGACATGTCTTCCAGAGATGTTTTGTCTAGAACAAGAAGAGCTTGAAGAACAGGGACAGAGCGATATCAAGCTACATCCAAGGCAGCAAGGAGCAGAGAAAGACACAAAGTAAACCAAGAGAATTTTAATTAAAAAAGAAAAAACCCCACCCATCCCCAGAAGACAAAGTGGTCTCTCCCCAGGCACAGATCTGCACGTTCCCTCCAACACAGGGAGTGCAGAGACTACAAGTGCAAGGGCAAGCGCTCCTTCAGCTCTGCCTTCTTGGAGACACAAAAAAACCAAACAAACCGACAACCACTGCCCCAAGACTCCATGAAGGAAGTGGTCCCTGTTTGGCACAATGTTCAGGAGATTGTTCTCCCACAACAACGGCATCTTAGCCAGATCGATCCTTGCCCCTTCCTGATCTTCAGTCAGCACACTCTCCTTTTTCAGCACAGTCTGGCGTGCTGCATCACCTCTTTGATCCTCCAGCACATGGGATGAAATACACTGTCTTCTACAGGGCTTCAATGCAGCTGATGAGTCCTGTTAAATTAATTCCTCTGGAAGTGAAGCTCCCAGAACCACATGCTCATATCATGGCCTCCATGTGCAGAACCTTCAAGGCCTCTGAAATCTGAGAGCTGGTGTCGATCTGGCCATACATCCCCACCAGGAAGGCCCTGTGCAGTAACACTGCTGCATGCTCTGTGAAAGGGAAAGACAGTGTGAGGACTGACGCAAGAGCTCCAACATACAAGCAAGAGCAACCCCACCAACAATCACTGGGATGAACGTTTGCAGCTGTGCAGGAAATTCTCTCCTTCCATAAGAACATGGCACAATCCACCTTCTAATAGCTCCATGGGTATGTGATCACGTGAGGGATCACAAGTCAGAAAAAATCCTAAGGGAGCAAATCTACTTCAAGGAAGCAAATCTACTTCAAGGAAGCCTCCCTTGTCTCTGACAAATGTCCCCTGGGATGCTCAGACCAATGCTACTGTTGCTAGAGATCACCTGCGTGTTTGATGGCCTGGTCTAGGCAACGCTGACCCTTGGCAACTTCCCAGGGAGGCTGCTCCCAGCACAGCAGCCCAGCTTTGAGCCTTGTGAGGCCAAGCACGCACCAAAGGTGGCAGATATCAACTTACCCTGACAAAGGAGGGTGTATTCAGGCAGGTTCCTCAGTGCTGTCTGCACCACCTCAAAGTCTCGGCTGCCAAGGCAGTACATGAAGGTGGGAAGGAAGTCTGCAGCAATGCTGGGAGGAAAACACGACAGTGTCAGTACAGTCCAGATCACCACCAACAGGTGTGCCAGGTGGGCAGCCAGTGTCCATCAGTAACTTGGGATAGCCCAAGTTCCAGTGGTCCTCACCTGGGGTTGTTCTGAATGGAGCGTAAAGCCAGGCTAAAGGCCAGATTTCGGCAGGACTCCTCTGATGAACTCATCAGCTTCTGTAGGTTTGTCTGAACAGAGGTGCACAAATTAGGATCACAGGGCCATCTAGGGAGCACACACTCCTCAGACTTGCCTTACTACCCCTCCAGCATCAATCCAGCCCAACATGCATCAAGCAAGTACTGGCTGAGCCAGGAAATCCTTCTCTGTAAGTAGAATACTGTTTTTGAATACTTCAAAGCACCCTCCTGTAATCTTATTCCACGTGGGACAGCTGCATTTCCCCTGGTCTCCTGTGTTTTCTACAATGAAGTTCTGCTCTCTCCTTGCCCCAATACTGGGAAGGAGACAGAGGGCTAATTCTTCTCTGACACAAAAAGAAGTTAAAGTGGATGATAGCAGACCCAGTACGCAACGGAGAGAAGACGGTGGGGAAGTAAACCCTGCCTACTGTTAAAAGGCCTAACTGAAGACAAATTACTCCTCAGATGCTGTAACAACCATCCAAAAAGCAGAGGAAGGGTAGTACTTAAGCTGGCTGTGCAGCACAGACTCCGGTGAAAAGAATCTCTTACTTCCAGTGGCAGTCTGAGACACTAATACTCACAGCAAAAAAGGAGAGAATTTCTGGCCTCCGTCTGGACATCTCATCAATGTCTGTCAGCACCTCCAGGATGTCTGGTGGAAGACACAGATTGAAAGGGGTGACTGAGATTCACTGATCCAGCAAAGGATCTTTTTCTTTTTCCCTAGAAATCCAGTCTCCCAAGCAGTCAAGCTCTCCCACCTACACACAGAGCCAGAGTAATAAGGGCATTCTTCAAAAAGGATGAGAACAGGTAGGTCATGTGTGAGACCAGCACACCTCAACCTGTCCAGGCAGAGGTCACCAGCACTGTCATGCCTTAGACAGGGGAAGGAGTGGAGAGGGATGTGAACGTTTCAGTTCCAGAACACCTTCTTCTGTAACAGAAAGATCTTCACAGAAAGCTTCTTTTAAAAACAGTGTCCAGGCAGGATTTCTTCCCCGTATTTCTAGTGTGGAAGGAAAGCTGTCACCTTAATACCACAACTTAGGTCTGAACACTGAACACCTGTGATTTCAGAAGACCTCTGGAGAAGAAGCATGTTTTTCCATATGCCAGGTTAACATGATTTTCTTCCATGAACACCATTTGGGGATTTTTAACAAAATAGTGCTCCTCATAAGTTTGGTATTTTTGTATTATTAAAAAGACAGCATATATATTTTATGTCATTAAAAAGTCAGCACTCCAGACGTGGCTCGACATGAACTGCAATGCTCCTTGAATTAGTCATACTATCTACCAGAGCACTTAAAAGATCCTTGAAGAGCCTCAAAGCAGAGGCAGTTGCAGCACTGCTGAGCTAAGTGGTAACAGCACCATAGGAAGCCTCTGTCACAGAATCACACAATGTTATGGACAAGTTAATCTCAACCAAAACCACATCCTAACTGCTGGAGACTTCCAAAGACAAGACTGAAGCAGGAAACCAGCCTGCAGCTGACAAATGAGTAACAGGGTTGGCATATGTCTGCATTTGCCCTGTGTCTTTGTACAGCTCTGCAGGTCCTCACTTACCCTCAACTGTTTGGCCTCTCGAGAGCCTCTTCATATATGGGGCCATTTCAGCTGGCGTGAGAGGAGTGAAGAGAGACATGCTCACAAGGGGAAGAGAGCCAGCTGCTGCTTCATCTGGGAGAGAGAGGGAGAACAGGTTACTCTTGACCGTCTATGTAGTTTTAACAGGGAGACAGGCCCAGTATTCCCTGCCAGTATAGTGGTGTATCACAAGCTGACCAGCAATACTATAACACAATTCCTGCCTCTCACACTGTTTGAAGCCTCACTGCACCTTCTGGTACCCCTCAGCTGACACAAAGAGAAGGAACCTTCCTGAGCTGTTTTAATATGGAAAAATTTTCCCATGCAAGTTGTAAAGAAAACAGTGGAGAAGTGGATGTACCCTTATGGTCTCTTAACAGGTCAATCCTGAAGCGTGGCTGAGGAAGGCAAAATCCACAACAATGAAACTCATCCTTGTTAAGGGCTGTTCTGCTCCAGCAGTGATAGCACCGACAGGAAAACAAATTTAACCCGTCCCAGATACTGGTTCCAAATTGCTGAGTGTACAAGTGCCATTCCCAACTCTAAATACTGTTGTTCTTCTAACAGCCCAACGAAACAAGCACAGCATACAGCCCATAAAATCATCTGTGCTCCAAACACACTGCAGGTTCACCAGCTGGAATAACTCTTCCCCCCTGCTCAGACTCACCATCCTTCTCTTCATCAGAGCCCCTCTCCAAGATGCCACTCTTACTAGGCAGACTCAGCCCAGCCAGGAGGGACTTCAGCATTGCGAGGTCACTGTTGTCTGATGACAGGTCACTGGGGGAAGAGATGGCACATTTAGCTTTCAGTAGCAATAAAGGCACAAGGACAAGCAAGAGCACATATACGTACACTAAAACTAATAGTTTCTCAGAAGCAGAAACAAAATTTTTCCTTTCATCATAACTGTAACTCAAATACATTTTTCCCCATATCTGCAGGTGGGACTCTGCAGCCATCGCTCAGGGAAAAGACCCTCCTACTGGCCCTTTGGAAATGACTACAATGCCTCAACAGGACATTCAGGCCCTTACGTGAGTTGAAATCATCATATGACTTCCTTGGGCTGAGTTTTCACCTATAAAAAGCTGCTGCTCATCTCAGTAGAGACTTACAGGAGCCAAGGGTAAAAAAGTACCATATTATTAGCTATTTTGTCACATCCTCGTGCTGTCTTATCTCTGATTAGCTCATGACTGCGCAAGCTCTCCATGAGCTAACCATGGGCTAACTGGAGTAAGGAAGCTTACTGGAGTGGATCCGAGTGTTTCTGCAAGAAGGAGACAGCTGCCTGGGCGTTGCATGTGATGTACTTGTGGATAAACTGGACAAACTTGCTGATGAAGGCAGCCAGGTGCCGTGAGGATTTTCTGTAGTTCTGAGAAGGGATTGAGAAGATGAGAGTTAACAAAAAAAGCAGTGATGCACTGCCCCATCCTGCACCTCTAGGTACCACGGAGAAGCTGCTTTATCTCCTGCCTCCTCTTTAAGCTCTCCAAGGTACTCGACACACTTTTTTGTTCTTAGGTATATGAAGGTTTTCCCTTCAAATGGGAGAGCACTGGGCTGGTCCAGTGTTCTGTGAGCTTCTCCCTCTAGTGGCTGGCAAACCGCGAATGGAGGGGCAGCAGGGACCTTCCTACCAGCAGCAGACGGATGAAGGACAGGAGACAGTCCCATAGTGCCGCCTGGTGCTCGTTCTGGAAAACCTGCGGCTGGAGTAGCTCCAGGATCCCCAGGACATGGATGAAGAAGGTCAAGTGGTTCTGCTGCCTGAACTCCTGGAAATTGAGGTGAACACGGCCGTGCAGCAGTGCTGCAATCATTGGCAAGTGCCTGAAACGTCAAACAAAAGAAAATACAGATCCAGCCTCTTCCTAGGAAGAGTTACATGTTGTTACACCTCAGTTCCTGGAAGGAAGTATCCCTTATCCTCTCACAGGTTACTGGCTTTGATTCCTGTATCTGTAGAATCAGCAAGTCCCACTTCCCACCCATGTTCTGTTTTCTACTCTTTAATTCCAAGAGGAAGGGGGGGCTGGCCACTTGGGAAGA